GCATGAATCACAGCATTTGTAGCAAATTCTGTCTGTACAGTGGTGAAATGATTGTATTCTACAGAGCTAAACACAAACTTTTGAAATACAGAAATATTGCTACAAGACGTCAGCGGTGCGCAAAATCACGTGTATATGTATGCATGTGTATGTATACGTGTGTGTGTGTGTGTTATTTGTGTATGTGATTTAGCATTTCTTGGTAGGGGGTGCACGCCCTACCCGCACCGCCATTCGCGGCCGAGGCTGTCTAATCACCGGGCCCCAGCTGGTAATTACTCACTGGCGCCTGGTGATTTTCGAGGATCTCCTATGGGTAGGAGGACTGTTTTGTTTACTAAAAGTTCTCCTCCCTGTCTGCTCGGGCTCACTGCTGTGGATGGATATGCACAGCCATCCACAGCAGTGTGATTACAGTGAATCACAAACATATGCTGCCTCATAGTAAAAACACTCCCAGCACACAGTTAACCCTTTGATTGCCCCTCATGTTAACCCTTTCCTGCCCAGTGCCATTAGTACAGTGTCAGTGCTTTTTTTTTTTTTTTTTTTTTTTTTTTTTTTTTTAGCACTGATCACTGTATTGGTGTCACTGGGGATGTCAGTTCCCGCCAGTGTCAGAATGTCTGCCGCAGTCCCGCTATAAGTCGCTGATCACTGCCATTCCTAGTAAAAATTAAGAAAAAAAAAATCCCTGTATATATACACCGCCATTTGCAAACACTAACTTTCTCGCAAACTAATTTACACGTATTGGGATTTTTTTTTCTAGCAAAGACATGTAGCAGAATACATTTTGGCGTAAAGTTTATGACGAAATTTTATTTTTTTTTACTAAATTTTACTGGACACGTTTAATAGCAAAAAGTCAAAAATAGAGTGTTTGTTTTTCCGGTCTTTTTTTTTTTCTTTTGAAGTGCAAAAAAATAAAAACCGCATAGGTGATCAAATACCACCAAAAGAAAGCTCTATTCGTGGGTAAAAAAAGGATGTAAATTTCATTTGGGTGCAGCGTTGCAACTGTCAGTTAAAGTAACGCAGCGCTGTAACGCAAAACATTGCCTGGTCAGTAAGGGGGGTAAATCCTCAGGAGGTCAAGTGGTTTAAAGGGCTAGTTCACTTAACACTGATATTCTTGTTTAGAATGGACACTGTTGAGTTTAGTCACCCACTGGCTTTAAAGCAAAAAAATTACTTGACTGGGCTTCTCCGCTTTAGTTTGTGCACTACATATGAAATGCACAAGTGCCTATCTGCTGTTACCACCACTAATATAAAATACATTTCTTATGAAGTAACTTTTGAGTGGTGGCTGGGGACAATTTGTGTATTAAGAAATCAAGCAACTGCTTTGGCTAATATAAACGTGTTATTATTGCAGTGGTTTTGATGTGACCTTTGCATTTCAATTAGGGATGCATCGATTTTTCGTTGGCTGAAAATATCGGCTGAAAATAGCACTATCTGCATTTTGCCGAAAGGAAAAATTTAGCCGATACAGGGGATTATGTGTACTGCAGATGGAGGGGGGGCAGCCATTTAAAGGCAGGAGAGGAGCAGTGTGTACAGTGAGCTACTGTTAAATGTCACTGCTGTTTTTTAAATGTAATTACCGTTTTTCTTTTTCCCTTCACTATAGCTCCAAGAAGGAGCTGTCATTCTCTCTGCCACTAAAAGAAACAAAGGGGCGGGATCACCCAGTGATATTAACAAGTGACCCCACCCCTTTTTTTTTTTTTTTTTAGTGGCAGGGAGAACTGACAGCTCCTTCTTGGAGCTATAGTGAAGGCAAAAAAAAGCTGGTAATTACATTTAAAAACTGGCATTGACATGTAGCGGCAGCCAGTGACTGTATACACTGCTCCTTTCCTGCCCCCTCCCTGCGCACACACACACTGCCTCCCCCACCCCACCACTCATATACTATCACATAGGGGACTATTGGTCCCCTACGTGATGACAATAAAATCATAAGTTAAAAAAAATAAAATAAAAATACACAATGTAAATAAAATACAAAATAAAGTACTTTGAACCTCCCCACCCCACATACGCAGACGTTTTGGATTTCAGCCAAGTACATTTAGAATTTTCAATATCCGTTTTCGGCACCAGAATTTTCATTTTGATGCACCACTAATTTCTATATGCTTTTTGAGAGGGAGCAGTAAAACACAACCAAGCATAGTACTGTAAAACACACGATCATGAGTAACTAAAGAACAAATATGGTTGCCTCATGTACATATAAAGATACAAATTATACACTGGGAAAAAAAACACATTTCTATGGCAAAAATGGAAAAAACCCTATGGAGGTCAGTTGTCCTGTTAGTCACATGGCCATCTCTCTTCTCTTGATTGATTTCTCTCTCCTGCATTAATTGGCTCCTCCTTTGGGATGATGCAGAGGGCCGTAAAATGCAGTGTGTGCGTCTGTCTGTGTGTCTGTGTGAAGTATAAAAAAATGCTCATATTTTTAAGCTTTAACACATTAAGATTATTTATTCAAGCTGATCTTAATTTTAAACATTTTAAAATTAAATTAATCTCTAAACTGTATTAAGAAATTAGAGAAATAGAGATAATAGATAATAATTATCTAAATTACTCATGTATACATTGTTGGACCAAAAATAAATTAAAGATTACTGTTTAACAACTAAGATGAATTTTTAAAGTGGAACTATGCAAAAAATACATATATTATTAACCTGTCGGTAGCATGAACAACATTTTTGCAGTCACCTGTACCATAGTTTTATTACCTGTAGATCCATTATCTTTCCACTTGTGTATTATTAGTATTATTATACAGGATTTAATAGGGTGACAGTGCTGTTCATTATGTTTTAATATCGCACAACAGCATTGTTACCTTGAGTTGACCATTTCACCCCTGGCATGATGATCTCTCCTGGGCTGTTTGGGGGTGAATTGCAGTCTGCGAAAGGTAGTCTCTACTGAACTTTAGACATTTTGCATAATGCTGTCTATAAGTAACTCTCACAAGAGAATTATTTGTGGAACTTTTTTTTTTTTTTGCAATTTCTTATAGGTTCTTAATAAAAGAAGTGCGAAACGTCCAAGTGTGAGGAAAGATAAACACTGTGGCAATAGGAATTTTAACAGCATTCAAGAACTGTATCCTCCTTTTTTTTTTTTTTTTTTTTTTTTTTTTTTTTTTTTTTTCCTCCTCCTTCCACCTTGATTCAATCTGTGTGTCACTCATTATTTTAATAACAAATGCTCTATGTGGTTTGTCCTGTTTCTCTATGATTGGTTGTGTAATCTCAGTATTTGCAATGTTTGCATCCTTTACTCTTTCTCATAGTATTGAGGTGGAAACTGAAGAAGAGAACCTATTGGATGCTTATTCCACACCAGCAAAGGTAGGTCTTGAGAAGTACATGATTTAGGGTCCATGCACACTAGGCTCAAAAAAAAAGAAAACCGCCAGTTCCCTGATAAAGAGGGTTTTTGTACAGTTTAGGTGAGCTTAGGACATTTTTAGCATTTTTTTTTTCTTGTCAGACAGCTCCATTAAAAATTGCAAACCAGAAGGGTTTTTTTTCCTGTCTCTAAATGGTAAGCTTAAAATATGCCTCTAACTGTCCTAATATGCATGGACACATAGGATAACACTGAGCTGCTTCTACGGCACACAACTCTTGTACTATGGTTACAGCGTTTGGTTTTTTTTTTGTTTGTTTTTTTAAGCCAGTGTGCATGGAGCCTCACACTGGTATTTTTTATTGTTTTTTTAATTATAATTATTATTATACAGTATTTATAAAGCGCCAACAGTTCGCTCAGCGCTGTACATTACAAAGGGAGACAGAACATGTGACTGTACGAAAACAATACAATGTGATGCACGAGGGGTTCGAGGGCCCTGCTCTTTCGAGCTTACAATCTAGGAGGGAGGGGATAGTGGTACAGGAGGAGATAGCTGTGGTGGACAGTATATGCTGACTTTGTGGTTTGTGTGTGCGTGTTTCAAAATTTCACACATATGACTGCTTAATGTGCACATTTCGAAGACCATTGATTGTGCAAGCAGCAGCCAACCTCACTGGGCAATGTCTTATTAGCCAGTTGTCCCTTTTTTAAAGTAAATCTGACCTGGCCTAAAACGGTTTCAAAGGTAGCAGTATTACAAAAATGAAAGCTTCCTATGGTGCATGTTTATCTCTGGATTTCCCTTGCATTTTGGGCCTAGACTGTACACAGGGTTTCAAATTACTAATTCTAGATTAACCACTTCCTGCCTGCAATGTACTGCGGCCGGATGGCAGCTACAGGCACAGCGACTTACCTGTATGTCGCTCTGGCTGTACTAACACAGCGCGACTGTACTTCTGTGTCCAGGGGGACACAGCGGAATGAAGATCCCGGTGAAATGGACCCGGTGATCACATGATCACAATGTAAGCAAAGCTGTTATGAATCAATCTCATTCATTACAGCTCTGCTTCTCCTCCTTGTGAGCTGTGATTGTCCCACAGCTGTCACATGATACATGGGGCCAATCACAGGACCCTGTACTATGTGACCAGCTCCAGCCAATCACAGATCACTATCTTGAGCTGTCAAGAACCTAACTCATTCATGACACGCACACAAAAGTAAAACGTTAATATGGTAACATTGTACTATTCTGATAAAAGTATTAAAAAATATTTTAAGGCAGCTCTTGGTAAAGCGATGCAATCTTATGTCAGTTCCTGGTTTGGGCTGTGAACGCGCCTACACATTTAGCCCTTCCGCTATTTTTCACGGATGATTTGTACCAATTGATTGTGGGCCAAAGCATTTTATACGCACAACAATACATCGGCCGGTGATTACCAAGGATCTCCAATGGGAAGGAGGGCTGCTTTGTTTACTAACAGTCCTCCTCCCTGTCGGCTGTGGCACACTGCTCTGGATGTGCACAGCATAGCCATCCAGAGCAGTGTGCTTACAGTGAAGCACCAACACACTGCCCCTCATGTTAGCCCCTTCCTGCCCAGTGTCATTAGTACAGTGTCAATGCTTTTTTTTTTTTTTTTTTTAGCACTGATCACTGTATTGGTGCCACTGGGGATGCCAGTGAAAACCAAGTCAGTTTCTCCCCAGTATCAGAATGCCTGCCGCCATTACTAAAAAGATAAAATGCAAAATGCACAGGCGATTAAATCCCACTGAAAGAAAGCTCAATTCGTGGGAAAAAAAGGCCGTAAATTTCATTTGGGTGCAGCGTTGCATGATCACGCAGTTGTCAGTTAAAGTGCGCAGTGCGTAACGCAAAAAGTAACCTGGTAGGAAGGGGGTGGGTAAATCCTCAGGAGGGCAAGTGGTTAAAAAAAAAGACAGGGACAGTGTAAAAATAATAATAATAATAATAAAAACTAAAGAAAAAAAAGCACTCTTGCCCCCCTGCACACGCACACCTGCGTGCGCAAGCGTTGACCTAGTGTCGGTATGTAAACAGCGGTTGCACCATGAATGTGAGGTATCGCCGCAAACGTCAGATTAAGGGCAGTAATTCTAGCACTAGAGCACCTGTGTAAATAATTGGTGACCTGTAAAGGCTTTTAAAGCGTCTATCGATAATAAAAATGTATGTACCGTATTTTCCGGCGTATAAGACGACTTTTCACACCAAAAAAAATCCCCCAAAAATCGGGGGTCGTCGTATACGCCGGAAAACTGTCCATCCCGGGAGCTGAGGTAATATGGAGGGCACATCTTCAACATCCCCAAGTGAAAGATTGCCAATAATTAATTTATTTCATCAAATAATTTACCCCACTGGATGTAGCGTCTTTATCTTCGGCTGGATGTGCTGCTGGAAGCCCTATGTAGCTTCAGAACGTCTCTCTGCTGACACTGTCCCTCACTGAGCCAATCACGGCAAGCCTGCTCAGATTGGCAAAGGTTGAATAGACCGCCTCTCTAACTCAGCCAATCCGAGCAAGCTTTTTATGCATACGAATTATGAATACACCGCTTGCCGTGACTGGCTCAGCGCAGTTCATACAGTCAGCACAGGGACGTTCTGTAGCCGAAGCCACAGTATTATAGAGCACATCCAGCGGCTTCAAAAGGTAAATACGGTCTTATATTCTGTATGTAGCCGAATCTACAAGCATATCCAGTGGGCCAAAATGTACTAATGGGTACATTATGTAGGGTATGTTTATATACTGTATTCTAGTAAAAAGCCTGCTCAGATTGGCCAGAGTCAGAGAGACAGTCTATTACAACCTTTGCCAATCCAAGCAGGCTTGTTGTGATTGGCCTTCCATTTATCAATGTATGTTATGTTCGAAATATGTTATTCAATAAAAATGTATTTAAAAAAAAAAACTGGTGTTGCCTTGGAAGTGGGGGTAGTCTTATACAACGAGTATAGGCCAAAACCTATGTTTTAACTGTAAAATTAGGGGGTTGTCTTATACACCCAGTCTCCTTATACGCTGGAAAATATGGTACTTTGTTGCCATTGCATGGGCATGCGCAGTTTCAAAGCATATCATGTTTGGCATCAAAGTACTTTTTTTTTTTTTGTATTTAATCAAACAATTGGGCAATATATTGTGTTTTGTGCATTAAAATTCTAAAGTGTGTTTTTTTTTTTTTTTTTTTTTTTTTTTCCCCAAGAGATTTGTTTGAAACATCGCTGCACAAATATTGTGTGACGTAATAAAATTTCAACACCCACCGTTTTATTCTCTAGGGCCTCTGCTTTAAAACATATATATAATGGTTGGGGGTTCAAAGTAATTTTCTACAAAAAAAAAGTTTTTTTCATGTGAACAAAAAGTATCAGAAAAGGCTTGCTCTTCAAGAGTGGCTGATGGGTGGCATAAGCTTCTAATGTCTTGCTGAAATGCCAGGATAGTAGAAGCAACCCCTCCAAATGACCCCTTTTTTGAAAACAGATACTCCAAGGTATTTGCTAACAGGCATGGTGAGTATTTTGCAGATCTCACATGTTTTTGGAAAACGAAGACAGAAAAAAATGTATTTTTTATTTTCCAAAATCTTGTGGCAAAAATGTGTAAATACTCACCATGCCTCTTATCAATTTCCTTGGGGTGACCACTTTCCAAAAAGTGGTCATTTGGGGGAGGGGTTTGTACTATCCTGGCATTTTAGGGTCTCCGAAACTGATAGGTAGTGGGGAAGTGATATGAGGAAATATGCCCTTTGAAAGCTTGGAGGATGTGGTCATTGGATTTTGCAGGCCTGTATGTAGCTAGGCTGCCAAAAAGTCTCTCGCATGTGGTATCCCCATACTTGGAAGAAGTAGAAGTCATTTTCAAAAAATATGTGTATACCATAGTTTGTAGATGCTATAACTTTCTCACAAACCAATTAATATACATGTATTGAGATTTTTTTTTTTTTTGTCTTTATACCAAAGACGTAGCAGAATACATTTTGGTCTAAATGTGTGACTGAGTTTTTATTGGATATTTTTTATAACCAAAAGTGAAAAATATCGTGTTTTTTTGTTATTTTTTTTTTCAAAATTTTCTGTTTTTTTTTTTTTTTTTGGTTTGTGCAAAAAGAACTGCAGAGGTGATCAAATACCACCAAAAGAAAGCTCTATTTGTGTGGGGGGAAAAAAGGACATAAATTTCATTTGGGTACAGCATTGCATGACCGCACAATAACCAGTTGAAGTAGCACAGTGCCGAACAGCAAATAATGGCCTGGTCATGAAGGGGGGGGGGGGAAATCCTCTGGAGGGCATGTGGTTAAGCTGAGCCTTAGTTTGGTAGTTATCTCCATTCTCTGACATTCACTTGCCAAATCAGGGGCTTATGCCAGCCATGCCTGGTTCGAAAATCGGATGATTTTTTTCATCCAAAAGAATAATCGGCTGATTTTTGCACTGTTAGTGGGTTAATGGCACTGGCCTATTTTCGCGGTTCCGCCTCTTTTCGGTGATCGGGCATGTTGGAAAATTCGTGAAAAACGACCGATTTTTGACTCTATATTCAAATCGTATGATTGTTTTTACAAAAAGAATATGCTCATGAGCCGTGACCTGGAAGGAAAAGAAGTTTCGCCTGTACGGAATTTCTGCTCTGGAACTAAGGTCAAAGCTGTTTAATGTCAAGAAAACATTAGCAGATGGCTTTCTGTGTGTGAATAAATGTACAGCACATGCATTTGCTATGGCAGGCACTCTGTGCTAAATTGTCTGAAGAATACCCCCCAAAGTCACATCAATTTATGTCCATTCTCACCGACCATGCAATGATGTGATAAAAGGCTCTATGCATTGACCCCCCAAAAAGGCCAGCCACATGCAAAAATGTAGAAACAGTTATGCGGATGTAAAAGTGGTTAACTCATAATGTACTGCAGAAAGATGCAGTGCAGAATTTGCAGT